TGCGTTGGACGGGGGAGGTTGGCGATGCGTTGGTGTTCCGGGTCTGGGGCTCTCGTGCCTTTTGTCCACGATACTTCCGCGGACAAGCTCTCCTCCCGCGCCATTCCCAGTGTCTTCCTTGGCTTTCCCCCTGACGCGCCTGGCTGACAGTTTTACCACCCCACCTCGCGCCGTGTCCTGCCCTCTCAGGACGTCACCTTTGACGAGTCGGTTCCCTTTTACCGTCTCTTCCCCTACCGCGCTGCCCCTCTCCCCCCCCCGCCGCTCTTCCACGCTCCAGGTCCCCCTCCGGTAGACCCCCCCCCCCCCCTCAGGGTCCTGCTCCCTCAGGTGTGTCTCAGGTAGACCCACTCCCCTTGGCTGAGCCTGTCGAGGTCACTGTAGACTCTGGTGCTGCTAGGGGTGGTGCTGCTAGGGGTGCTACGTTTGGGGGTGCTGAGCCTGCAAGTGCGGAGCCTGGGGGTGCTGAGCCTGCGAGTGCGGAGCCTGGGGGTGCTGAGCCTGAGCGTGCGGAGTCTGGGGGTGCTGAGCCAGAGGGTGCGGAGTCTGGGGGTGCTGAGCCTAGGAGTCATGCGTTTGCCGGAGGTCCTGCGGGTGCCTCGCCACGGCAGTCTCGCCGGCGGGAGCCTCTCTCACCGCGGCAGCTGCGCGAGTGGTTTGCTCGGCGCACACGCCTTAGGAGTGGCGCTACTAAAGCTGGAGGCCCCGCCGTTGGAGGCACTGGAGCTGGAGGCGCTGGAGCTACTAGTCCTGGATGTGCTGGAGTTACTGCTGGTGCTGGAGGCGCTGGAGCTGGAGGTACCGGAGGTGCTAGAGCTGCTGGTCCTGGAGGTGCTCGTACTGGAGGTACAAGATATGCCGGAGCTGGTGGTGTTGGAGGCGCTGGAGCTGGAGACCCTGGAGCTGGAGGCACTGGAGCTGGAGGCACTGGAGCTGGAGACCATGGAGCAGGAGGCGCTGGAGCTGAAGGCGCTGGAGCTGGAGGCCCTGGAGCTGGAGGCGCTGGAGTGGGAGACGCCGGAGCTGGAGGTGCTGGCACTGGGGGTGCTGGAGCTGGCTGTACTGGTGCTGGAGGCACTGTGCAGCGGCGACCGTTTTTCGTTCCGCCGCCGCCATCGTCTCTGCCGCCACCTAGCTCGGTACTTTGCCAGGTTCTTAGTCTCCCGTCTTCTACTGGCCTTACTCCTCCCTTACTGTGTCCACCGCCTGACCAGTCGCAGCTCCAGTTACAGCCAGACTCCCCACTGCCTGCTCCTTCTCCTTACACTGAGCAGACAGACTCTCCTTCAGAGCGTCGTGAGCCTGCGTCTCGTCGTGCCTCGCCTGTTCGCGCTGTTTGCACTGGTCGTCGTGTTCCTCGTCAGCGTCCTCCTCCTGTCCCCGGCACTCACGGTATGGCACTTCGTCGTTCCTCTGTTCCACTGCGAGTTCCCTTTCCGTCTCCTCCTGCGTCCTCTCTTCCTGACGTTGTGCTGCCAGTCCTACTGTCACACGTCTTCTAGCCACTGTTGTCACTGACCCTTCGTTTGAGTCTACTGCTGCGTTTGCCCTAGCTGCTGAGCTTGTTGACTTTGCTGATGCGTGTCGTCTCGACTACGCCGCTTGTATTGTTGCTGAGTCTGAGTCTGACTGTCCTCCGTCCGTCGGGGGTGAGTGTGCTCTTGGCACGGACGTCCTTGAGGACAGGCAGGAGGAGTTTGAGTGTCTTGCAGCTGCTGTACCTCATCTCGTGGCCATGCTGCTTGCACCTGAGGGAGACCCGGATGCACCAGACATCCCGACCCCGCGCTCTTACGCAGAGGCGATTATGGGTCCCTACTCCTCTCGGTGGCAGACAGCCATGGACGCAGAGATGGCATCATGGAAGTCCACAAGCACTTACATCGACGCATTTCCCCCTCCTGGGGCAAACATAGTCGATGGCATGTGGATTTTCAGGGTGAAGCGCCGGGTTCTCCGCCTGTCTTCAAGGCTTGTTACGTTGTATGAGGCTTTAGTCAGCGACAGGGAGTTGACTTCTTCCAGACCTTCTCCCCTACCCCGAAGATGACCACTCTTCGGGTGCTGCTGCACGTCGCCGCTCAGCGTGACTACAAGCTTCACTCTCTTGACTTCGGCATAGCTTTCTTACAGGGCAGCCTGCACGAGGAGATCTGGCTGCGCCGCCAACCTGGCTTCACTGGGTCGTTTCCTGCAGGTACCCAGTGGAGCCTCCGGCAGCCAGTCTACAGTCTCTGCCAGGCGCCTCGCGAGTGGTACGACACACTGAGGACGACGCTTGCGGCTCTTGGGTTTGCTCCTTCGACTGCTGACTCGTCGCTGTTTCTGCGTTCCGACACTTCGCTGCCACCGTTCTACATCCTCGTGTACGTTGACGACTTGGTTTTTGCCACTGGTCACTGAGGCACTGGCCCTTGTGAAGTCGGAGCTGTAGAAGAGACACACCTGCACTGACATGGGTGAGCTGCGCAGCTATCTTGGCTTACAGATCACCCGGGACACAGCACGGCGCACTATCACCCTGACTCAGTCACACATGGTGCACCAGGTCCTTCAGCGCTTCGGCTTCCGGTACTCCTTGCCACAGTCCACTCCTCTGCCTATCGGTCACTCGCTCTCAGCTCCACCTTCGGACGAGTCCGTAGAGCCGAATGGCCCGTATCCAGAGCTTGTGGGCTGCCTCATGTACCTGATGACCTGCACTCGACCTGGCCTTGCCTACCCTCTTAGCATCCTGGCACGCTACGTTGCGCCCGGGAGACACCGACCAGAGCACTGGGAGGCCGCTAAGAGGGTGTTGCGCTACTTGTGCAGTACGTCGGGCATGGGGCTCGTGCTTGGAGGACGGGGTCCAGTTGTCCTCACTGGACACGCAAACGCGTCTTGGGTTGACGACGTGGCTACGCAGTGGTCGTCATAGGGTTATACCTTCAGATTTGGATCCGGCTCTGTTTCTTGACGGTCTACTCGCTCGTCTTCTGTTCTCAGTTCCAGTTGTGAGGCTGAGATCTACGCAGGGGCCATGACTGCAGAGGAGTTATGCTGACTCACCTACCTGCTGACCGACTTGGGAGAGCCGCCTCGTTCTCCTCCAGTTCTGTACGTAGACAACAAGGCCATGATTGCCTTGTGTCAGGAGCACAGACTGGAGCACATGACGAAGCACATCGCTCTGCGTTACTTCCTTGCTCGAGAGTTGCAGCAGCGTGGTCAGCTTCGTCTTGCTTACGTGGCCACTCGGGCCAACACTGCTGATATATTCACCAAGGCACTTCAGCCTTGTGATCATCAGCGTTTCTGTACTGTTGTAGGCCTTGTGCTTGTTTTGTCTCACTTGCTCACTGCGTGACTTTGCTGATACTGTGATCTATATACATATACCTGCGTGCTTACCCCTGCTAGGTTATGATCACTGTATTGTTTGTTCTCATTTATATAACTCTGCATGTGGACTGGCCTTGCGGCCATTTGCTTGTGCTCAGAGTGTGTGGTGACTTTGTGATCCACACTGAGCTTGCTTTGCTTTTCTTGACTGGTCTTGTGACCACTTGTTCTCCCCCACTTTGCCTATGGGGGTGTGTCAAACTGTTATAATGTTTATATTGTGTAGGCTGTAGTGGGGTAGCCCATAAGGGGTACAACCCAATTAGGGTTAGTACTTGTACTCAGTTTCTTGTCAATGCATTCATCCTCGTTCAGTATTCTGACAAGGCAGGCAGAGCGGCGGACACGTGAGCCCACAGAGTGTCATTGTCCTGACATCGGCTCCTAAAGTGCCACTAGGCCTGGCGGAGCCACCTACGTGCTAAAGTCTATAGGACGGCCATGTTCATCGAAACACAAAACTCTAGCGGATGCCATAAGAAACTCTAGGAACAACCGGAGCTAGTAGTGGCCGGAGCTAGGAGTGGCAGGAGCTAGGAGTGGCCGAAGTGAGACATGATTGGAGCTAAGGACCGCTGGAGCTAGGAGCGGCTGGAGGGCTGGGAGTGGCTAGAACTAGAAGAATGCTAGGAACGCTAGGTTAGGACATGGAACGGTGGCTGGAACGGTGGCTAGGAACGGCGGCCGGCACTAGCAGGGAGGTAAGTGCAGGCGTGCGAAGGGCGCTAGTGCCCGCGGGCTGCTGTGATTGGCTGTGGGCGGTTGGGAGCGGCTATGGGTGGCTGTGAGCAGCTGTAGGCGGCTGTGAGCAGATTGAGCGGCTGGGAGCGGGTGTGGATAGGTGTGGGGCAGGGAGCGACTGTGGGTGGCAATTCAGGAGCAGGGAGCGACTGTGGGCGGCTGTGGGTAGGTGTGGGCGGCTGTGGGTAGGTGTGGGCGGCCGGGAGCTACCGTGGGCAACCGTTTGTTGCTTAGCCAACATGCAATTATGTATATATGCAGCTCATACGTATTCCTTACGCAGTTGAGCAGCAAACATTCCTTTTATTTTCCGAAGATATAATGAGTCAACATTTATGTTATCGTTTGTTGGAGTATGGAGCTTGTGCGAAATGTTGTTTCCTTATTGGTTGTGTATGTACCTGCTTTCTGATTTTGGTAATATATGCATCGAAGCATTCAAAAGTGCGCTAACACTGGTGCATGGAAACCATCAGACAAATGGCGAACGAGTTGGTCCACTCAAACAAATGACGGGCGATGGCTGACGGGTGACGGGCGACAACACGAATGACAGCATCTGCTGCCGCTTCGCCATGCCCAGAAGGTCGCGACATCCCGGCGCTGTCGCTTTGCTGGCACGTCGAGACGAAACCGATGTGACCGCATCTGGCGCGTCTGGCGCGTCTGGCACCGTTGATGTACGGTCCAGAGCGGGTGGCGGACTGCTGTCGCGCCGGGAAGGCACAGAAGCCGAACCGCCATGTTCTGTCAGACGGCGAAGGCGACAGGGCACGATGCGGTGCTTAACGCGTCTGGTTCAGAAACAGAAGGAATCGACAGCTCGTCTCCTTTCTCGCGTCAGCGTCGTGTGACCGTAGATTCATGGTTACTCGATGCAACGATTGTCGCGTTCGGAAAGAAGGCAAGTCAATCCAACTCAGCACCTTGGGTTGTCGCAGGGGACGGCGAGAAACGACAACGATGGCAGCGACTCGCCATGTGTCCAGGAGACACCCATTCTACAGTCATGCGACATCCGTACGACACCCATACGACACCCATGCGACAGTCATGCGACAGCCCAGGTGCACGAGGACACACGACGCGCATCATAGTATCACCACGCGGCTTCCACTGCTGCCGACTCGACGCAATCATCTCCAGGGCGACTCGACACGATCGACTCACCATAAAGCCCTCCGTGCAGTCTCCACTCCCTCAACCACACCTTCACCGCCCATTTCGCCGATAATCCTTTGAGTCTGACTCATTAGTGACCATACTCAACTGCGATCAGCACGCCCGTAACACCTGCTCGCAGCACTCTCTTCCGCCATCACGATGGCTCACACCCGTGTTCCCACCCGCACTCGCGGTCGCCGCCACCCGCTCCTCCGCGAGCCGCCAGCACCTCCCGCCTTCGCAGCCGCCGTCCTTGCCGCAGCCGTTGCTCTCCTGGCCGCCGCGGCCCCCGGTGTGACTGTACAGGGCGCGCCGTTAGCGGGGCCGGCGTGCGTGAACGAGTTTCCGAGGGAGCCGCTGTGCAGGTTCGTGGATGACCTGGCAGCCGCGCCGCGCGTGGAGGTGGACGCGTCCACGGGGAGGACGATCCGCATCGGCGCGTATCAGATCTACCAGGCGAGTCAAACTTGAGAAGCGCGTGTTGTAACGGGTTGAGACAGTGGGCGAATGAGAGAATGAGTAGCGCTGCTTGTGGGTGCTTTCCTTACTGGCCGCCCTCTTGTCGTTCTCGCCCTCACTCTCTCATTTAGTTTCTCTCTCCCTCCCTCTTCCACAGTTGCCAAGTCTCACCCTCTCAAATACACTAAACGTCAAAGGGCTCAACACCCTCACTCCCCCATCCACACACTTCTCAACACACTCTGCCATTCACACACGCGTATGGGCTCAACGCTCTGCCCTACTCACTCACTTGCTGCCTCTCTCATTCCGCCTACACCCCCGCCCCTCCCCCTCCTCTCGAATGGTCCTTGCTTCAATAATGTGGTGGAACACGGGTAGATGCAGACACATGCAAGACAAACACACATTCTAACTACCACACCTATCTTCTATCCTCTCCCCCTCCTCTCTCACTCTTCCTCCCCTCCCTAACCCAATTCCTCTTCTTTTTTCCACAGAAGATGCACGCCTATGGGGTCAACGCATAAACCCTCTCTTCTTCCCCACTCCGTTCCCACCCTCTCTCCATCCACAGAAGCTGCACCGCGACCTACCTGCCACAAAGCTGTACGCCTACGGGCTCAACGCTCTACCTCCCTCCGCCATTCACATTCTCCCCGCCCTTCCACCCCCCACCATTCTCCCCCCTACCCGTCCACAGAAGCTGCACCGCGACCTACCCCCCACAAAGCTGTACGCCTATGGGCTCAACGAGCGCACTGCTCACTACCCTGGCCCCACTCTCGTCGCCCGACGTGGGATCGCCACCAAGGTACGGAGGGGCGGAGGGTGCTGTACGGAGGGGTGGAGGGTGGTGGTAGGGAGGGATGGAGGGTGGTGGAATGGCATGGAGGGCTGTAGAGTGGCGAGTGGTGCTACAGGGGGCTTGGTTGCGAGTGTACATGGGAGATCGACGCTTTTGGGCCCTGGTTGCGATTGCGTTCCCTGTGTGCATTCGATTGCACCAGGACCGCTGCGAAACGAGTCTCACCTCCCAGCGATGCGAGCTCACCGATTGTGCGTGCAAGCCCTGTCTTCTCTGTCTGTCTGTGCGTGTGTGTGCGTGCATGTGCGTGCATGTCTATTACTGTGTGTACATGGCATGTGAGCCCACCAGGTGCGGTGGGAGAACCACCTGAGGGACAAGACGCACATGTTCGCAGTGGACTATACCCTCATGGGCGTTGCTCACCCCAAGCGCGGCGGCATCCCCATTGGTAACTACCACTTCTCCCCACCCTCAATCCCCTCCCTCTCCCCATCGGCCTCCCCTCCCGTCTATTCCTCTCCATGTCTCCCTTCACTGCCTTTAAGTGCCATGTCGCCCCCCGTTCTCAGAAACCGCTCTCTTTGTCTCCGTTCTCTGCCCTCGAGTGCCGAGACATCTCAAAATCCCCACTCTGTGCCACCTCGCTCTGACCCTCCCTGCGCCCCTGCAGTGATCCACAGGCACGGCGGGGAGACCCCATCGCACTCCGACGGCCACCCACAGGCGTGGTTCACGCAGTTCGGGGAAACAGGCCCCACGTACCACTCGCGGCGCTACACCTACCCCAACGACCAGCAGCCAGCTACCCTGTGGTACCACGACCATGCCGTGGGCATCACCCGCCTCAACGTGGCTGCTGGCATGGCCGGGCTGTACCTTCTCACTGACCCGAAAGGCGTCGAGAGGAAGCTTCGCACGCGGCTTCCCGGCCCGGAGTTTACTGTGCCGCTGGCGATCTCGGACCGCTCCTTCTTTGCCAACGGGTCGATTAACTACCCCTCCAAGGGCTGGGTGCCGGAGTATTTCGGGGACACCATCCTTGTCAGTGGCCTGGTGAGTCGTACTGGCGCTGCCATCTCAGACAGGTCGTTCTTTGGCAACGGGTCCATTGACGTGCCGAGTGTGCACCCCCACTGGGTGCCAGAGTATTTCGGGGACTCCATCCTCGTCAGTGGCTTGGTGAGTCGTGTTGGTGGTTCCTGCATCCTGCTTCGTCCTCTTCCCACTCTGCTTCTGCTTCCTCCTTTACTCTTTGTCATTCCACCTCTTCCTCTTTCTCTCCCGCTTCCACGTCCTCTTCCCCTTCCTCTTCCGTTGTCACAGGCAAAGCAAGCAAGCGGCGCATCTCTTCAGTTCGTGGCATGCCTCACATTCTTCCGTCCACTCCTCATCTCCTCTTATCTCATCTCACCTCATCCATATCACCTCTCATCGCACCTCACCTCAGCTACTCAGCTCAGCTCACCTCCCCTCCCCTCTCCCCCACTCCCCTCCCCATATTACGTAGGTCTGGCCGTACCTATCAGTGAGGCGCACGCGGTACCGCTTCCGAGTGCTGGGGGCGGCCAGCAGTCGCTTCTTCAACCTGCGCTTCGTGTGCGCCGCCCCTGACAACTACCCCGACTTCACCCCGCCCATCGCAGGCCATGTGCTGCCCATCACCCAGGTGTGTGCTATGATGTGCTGCCGATCGTGCAGGTGTGCTGCCCATCGTGCAGGTGTGTGCTATGCTGTGCTGTGTGGTGTGCTGCATGGAGCATGTGGCCATGTATGTGTATTGCTGACAGCAACAGCGCTCGTGCTGCAGCATCAGCTATTGCATGTTCGTGGGCAGGTGTGTGCTGCCCATCATGCAGGTATGTTTTGATGTGCTGCTCTTTATGCTTTTGCTGCTCTTGATTCCGCTACCACGTGCGTGTAGACTGCCTCCTATCCGCCCTCGCTTCCCCACCCCCTCTTGTTCACACGCAATCAACTTGAACGTGACAGCAATACCGTCCACATCCAGTATTCTCCCTCCTCTCCCTCCTCTCCCCGCCCACCAGATCGGCACGGACGGCGGCTACCTGCCCCGCCCAGTGACCCGCTCCTCCCTGCTACTCGCCCCGGGGGAGCGCCACGACATTCTCGTCGACTTCTCCTCGCTGCCCGCCTCCTGTGCTGACGTCATTCTCACCAACGACGCCCCCGCGCCCTTCCCCTCGGGCGAGGCACCGGGCCGCAACGCCACGGGCGTCGTCATGCGCTTCATTGTGGATAGCACTGGTTGTGTTGTGCTGTCGCCTCCTGTTCCCAAGAAGCTCGTGGTGAGTTGCCCTGTGGGAAGGGCATTATGGTGGGGTGGGTGGGCAGCAGCGCCACGGGCGTGGTGATGCGCTTCATTGTGGATAGCACGGGTGGTGTTGTGCCAGGCAGCAGCAGCACGGGTGTGCTGTAGAGTATTTATCCCGTCCCTTCCTGAACCCCGGAGCTGCCCCTCTGTCTTATGCTTCTCCCTTCGATACCCTTCCCAGTCCGTACATGCCCTAGCTGCATCCTTCCCAGTCCGTACATGCCCTAGCTGCACCCCTCCCAGTCCGAACATGCCCTAGCTGCACCCCTCCCAGTCCGAACATGCCCTAGCTGCACCCCTCCCAGTCCGAACATGCCCTAGCTGCACCCCTCCCAGTCCGAACATGCCCTAGCTGCACCCCTCCCAGTCCGAACATGCCCTAGCTGCACCCCTCCCAGTCCGAACATGCCCTAGCTGCACCCCTCCCAGTCCGAACATGCCCTAGCTGCACCCCTCCCAGTCCGAACATGCCCTAGCTGCACCCCTCCCAGACGATCCCTCACCTCACCCCTCCTGTGTGCCAGGGAGAGGTGAAGGGTGCCTTTGAAATCGCACGCCCCACTCCGACCGCCCTTTGATGTTCCTTGACGCATCAGCTTCCTCCTTTCTCCCCCCTGCTTCCCACAACTCCGCCCTCGCCTCTCTCCTCCTCCCCACACCCCCCACCTCGCCACTTCCTTTCTCGCATCCCCGCTCTCCTCTCTCCTCCTCACATCCCCCCTCACCCCTTTCCTCCCCACATCTTCCCTCCCGCTGCGCCAGTCCCTTCCCAAGCTCAGTCCCGTGTGAGCAAGGAGAGGTGGAGGGCAAGCCTGCCTGTGCGCCTCACTCGCGCTCTCTCCTCACACCCCCCTCCCCCCGTGCCAGTCGCTTCCCAAGCTGCGCCTCTCCCGTGTGAGCAAGGAGAGGTGGATGACAGCTGTGGAGGTGTCTTCCCCCCAACGCATCACCTTCGATGGCCGCGGCTTCAGTGACGCGCCCACCGAGACTCCCAAGCGGGTTAGTGTAGCAAGGAGAGGCACCCGAGATGGTAGAGTGAAGTGATGGAGAGGCACCCGAGCTGGTGAGTGCAGCGGTGGTGAGGCACCCGAGCTGGTGAGTGCAATATACACACCATCAACACCATGCCAGGTCCCCATCTCATCCATCTACGTCTCGTTCGCATTCACCCTATCCCTCCGTTGTTGTCCACTTCCTACACGTCCGTCCATTTGTGCAATGAGCAGAACTCGAAGGAGCTATGACACATCATTAACGACACACTCGACGTCCACCCCATCGACCTGTTGATGCCCTGTTGTGCATGCTATGTGCCATGTGCCAAATGCCATGTGCTATGTCCGTCCATATGTGCCACGCCCGTCTATATGTGCCACGTCCGTCCATATGTGCAATGAGCAGAACTCGGAGGAGCTATGGCACATAATCAACAACACGCCAGACGCCCACCCCATCCACCTGCACCTCATCATGCACCGCCCGCTCGCCCGCCGCCCCTTCAACCGCACCGCCTACCGCAACAGCCAGTGCGCCTTTCCTGGCAACTCCTCCGCCAACTCCTCCCTGCCCACCTGCTTCACGGGGGCGGGGAGCAGCGTGAGAGTGAGTAGGAGGGCGGGCAGCGTGGGGGAGTACGAGCGCGGGTGGAAGGACACCACAGTGCTGCAGCGGGACGAGGTGCTCACCCTCTGGACCGGCTGGTTCTCCCAGGTGGGATTCTGGCCCCACTCCTGCCTTGCTCTGTTCCAGAGGCGTTATTTACAACTGTTTTATTTCGATTTGGTCAGAGATTACTGTAAATTTAATGGAGTGGGGTGGTTACCCCAACTCCAAGGCCTGGAGTGTACTGATGTATGTGTGGGTCGCTTGTGTGTGGGTGTGGTGCTTGCAGGACGGGTCGCCGTTCCCCTTCAACCCCACGCGTGGCCCGGGGTACGTGTGGCACTGCCACATCCTGGAGCACGAGGACAACGACATGATGCGCCCCCTCATCATCACGTAGAGATCATGGAGAGCATGGCGTGTGGATGGTATGGGTGTATAGAGCACAGCAGCGTGCATGGTGCGTGGGAATAATGCTGCTCAGGGTACGTGTGGCACTGCCACATCCTGGGGCACGATGACAATGAGATGATGCGCCCCCTTGTTGTCAAGTAGAGAGCATGGAGATAATAATGCGTACGTGGGTGTAGAGAGCACAGCTGCGTGCATGGGTGTGTGAATAATGTGGCCAGTGCTGTGTGTAATGTTGGTGTGAAAATGCATTTGGGGCTAATCCTACGTAAAAGATATTTTGCTGCTGCGTGTAACGAACCCTTCCAATATTGCGTCTAAGGGCGAATGTTGACCAGGAGTTGACCAGGAGTTGGCGAATGTCTAAGGGGTGCCTGGTTGGCGGATAGAGAGGCATCATTCTCCGAAAAATCAGGCCATTCATCACTCACTAGAGGGCTACCTGATCTCACGAACTTGCAATGAAGCTCTCCGAGCTCTCCGCCATCTGGCAGCCATGAATTTCTCCGAGTCTGACTCAGTCAATGTCCTCGTTACAATGCTCAGTACAAACCAGGGCCTTTTTTATCAGTGTAATTCACACTGCTATACTGATTATAAGGGTGAAATTTAGGGCCTGCACTGATGTGTTTGGGTAATTTTTTGGCGGATTAGTGTTACACTGATGTGTCAGTGTAACGATTTAGGCCACACTGATGATCTGGGGTAATATTTCCCTTATCGAAGATTACCCTGAAGAGCGTATAGGGAACTCCCCCCCCCCCCCCCCCCCCCTTCCTGAAACTCGACCTATCGAGACGAAGTTTCCTGGAATTTTCGTCCCGATACAACAAATTTCGTAATGATGCACAACACCAGCACGTAAGTACTGACAACCAGGGTCGCGTCAGTTTTTTTTACCAAGGCCTGTCTGACCAATCAAAGCACAAACTCTCGTTTCTTGTTACAACAAGTGGGACCGACAAGTAGATTCATTCTTGACCTGCCACGCCAAATTCCTCCAGCAATACCAATTCGACTTGTCAGTGCATGTTCAACCTATCACAGAAGAGATCATGCAGATTCGACCTACCACAGTAGAGAAATATGCAAATTCGATTTTTCACGGCAGAGATTCGTCTGTCACAGCAGATTCTATCGCAAATCACCCTGGACTAGCATGTTTCGGTTTCAGATGGAACACATAACTGCCTATATTACAATCAGGGTAAACAAAATACTTACACTGATGCCTCTGGGTAAAATTTTCAAAACTTCAAGTTACACTGATCCATAAGTGTAACCAAAAAGGGCACACTGCTCAGAAGGGTTTTGAAAATGGCTACACTGCTAATCATGAGTAGCCAAAATCCAAAGATTGGCCCTAGTACAAACGCCTGTTTCCGTTCCAAGTGTCAAACTGTATGTTTGTGTTCTCTCTAGGCTATAGTGGGTTAGCCTACAAGGGGTACAACACTTTAGGGTTAGGTACTTGTACTCATGCATGCTACCTAGTCCATCATTCTTGCCTGCTTATTCTAACACCAAGCATCGCTTTTAACACTAACATTGGTTTTCCGGCCATTTATGCTGGCCTAGGTTACTCCTGATATAAGGCGACAAGGCTCAGCGTTTGCAAGGCATTCCCAAGATCGCATTTCAGTCATGCTTCAAGTCCAGCGGCTTTTATTCCTATTCCTAAGAGCTACACTCCTATTTCAACGACTATTAAGGACGATGGTTTCGAGGTTGCAACCTCGGGAATACATCACCAACAGCAGGAAATATTGGAGCCTGACAAGCTCCTATTACTATTTAATGAAGTGCTAAGACACCAGGCTTTCCATCATCTCTCAGACAACAAGCGTGCTCTGCACACTGCTTCTTCGCCTGGATCTCATTATCGCACCATGTCGCACCCAGCGGATGTCCCAGTTCTGCCTAAGGGTCAACGCTCCCGTCCTGCTAATGATCCGCTGACAAGTGCTTCACCTGCGGATGTTCAGCAAACGGGAGGAGAGGGAGTTAACAGCGTTAACAAGAGTTCTACCATGAGTGTCAATGCTGCGGACAAGGTCAATGTCAGCGTTCCAGTGGCTGGAAGTTCGGGTCTCTCAGTGCGTGAGAAGGCTGATCATGGTGCTGGACTCACCGATGCTGACGACTTTATCGATGACGATTCAGACGATGAAATGCTGATCGACGACAAGGAAGCCGGCTTCAGGCTCCGTTCCGTTGCTATTCTGCTCATTCCCTTTATGCTTGAAAAGGAAATCGCCTGTGTGGTTGACACAGTCAAGGCACTAATCAAACACGGGTGGTATACAGATGTATCAGTTGATGCCGCGTCGACCACGAAGTTTCAAGAGCTGCAAACTGCTTACGTCGCCAAGACGCGATACTGCCGTCTGCAGGTCTCTTTCGCTCTGGAGTCAGATGCTTCCTGGGTGCGGAACAAGGAGGTGATATACCAGCCGTTAAAAAAAAAGGGTCAGCTTGTTACACTTCACTGGCAGCATACCGAGGATCCTGATTACGCTCGCGAGAAGGCTCTGAACCCGCACGCGATCGAGGTCATGATCAGGGGAGTGTCTGCAGCTGTTGAAGTGGTGATGATTCATGACCGCCTGGTGTCTTACCCGCTTAAGAGCAGTGGGTTGTCAGCTTTCCATAAGTGCTCCTGTCTGCATCGGGGTGCTTCATCCTGTCACGGGTGCTGATACGGATGTGGTGAAAGGACTGGTTTACGCTCACCTGGGCAACCTGCATCGTCGCTGGATCCACGCCGTTGCTGACCCCGCTGATCGTGCGAAGATGCCTCTGATCAGGGTCCCCGCATTGTCCTGCACGCTCTGCGGTGGCAAACATTATGATAAGTAGAATAATGTTTTTATCACTGAGCGTCAGAACAATGTTAGCAAATGGAATCTTGATCTTGGAAAGATTCACTGGCTCAACGGTAAACGCAGCAGCCAGCTCTCTCGCCGTCTTCCGTTTCCTTTTATTACCTCATCCACTAACCTTGCTTTCGACCCTCGCAGCTGCGTCGCTGAAAGCATCGCCGTTGTTTCTCCCTATTCTCTGAGATCCGGCCATCGCCTTTATCTCCACCACCACCAGCAGGGAGGACTGGATCTGTACTCAGACTGGTTGCGGAAAGGCGAAGGGGAGAAGTTTCATGGCTGCTGCAGATCACATCTCCACAGCCACCCACTTGCAGCAGCTGACGAAGGCTGGTGCTGCCTCGAAGGAGTCCCTGGGCAAGATGAACCTTGCTGCAATCCGCAAGGAGTATGGGATGTGACAGCCTTGGATCGGTACCTGCAAGTAGCTAACGCTTGGAGCCTCGGAGTTAGTTTCACCAGTGTAGTCGCATTTATCAGCCTGTGGATGACAAGGGGCTGCAAGGCAGTGGATCCATGATTAATAAAAACCACCTATCCATCGCGAGCCTAAACGTCAACGGTTTAGGTGACAGAACCAAACAAGACAGAGTTACAAAATGGTTAAGACAAGCCGCAGACATTGCAGTATTAGTAGACACCAGACTAGTTAGTGGTCATGCTTACTGGACATCACTTAGCACCTACACGGTAGTAGCCAACCCTCCACAGGATAGTGCCCGTGGAGTTGCCATCCTCTGTAGCAATCCCGCCATCAGTTTTCATGACACCACTCTCCACCCCTCAGGTAGATTAGTTCAGACTACGGTTAAAGGCGTCGGACTTGACCTCATACTCATCGCCTTATACTTACCCTCTCACCCATCCCCTAGGGCCGCTTTTATCAGGGATGTCCTTGGCCCAGTTGTCGATCAGATCCAACCCTCCGCTCACCTTCTTCTGATCGGTGGCCTTAACCTGACTGACGATCCAAAACTGGACAGGTCCTCAGGTTCGGGCTCATCGGCGGGGAATGACAAACTCCTTCTTCGGTGCACCAGCTTCCAGTTGTGCGACGCTTTTCGCACCCTGCATCCACGCAAGAGAGAATACACGTTTTATGCTCATTCCCATCGCTGCAGCACTCGCATTCATCGTGCCTTAGTATCTCAATCTCTACTAACATACATGTCCATTGCCTCCCATGACATGCCAGAGGAACCCATTTCGGACCATGGTTTTGCGATTAACGTTGCTTTTCGCCTTGATGCAAAAGTCTGCATTGGGCCAGGGATCTGGAGGTTGCATGCTTCAATGGTGCGAAGGCCGGGTATTCGGAAAGTCATTGATGCGACGGTGAGAAGAACGCCTGTCCACGACGGTAGCAGTTTCGAGCTCCTCATCGCTCGCCTGGGCGCTGGATTACGTTCCTATGCAAGGGAGGAGAGCAAAAGGGTCAAGGCAACATTAACACATCTTGTCAGTGCAGTAGCAATACTAAAGCAGGAGCTGATGGGGGACCCGGGCTGTGCTATCAAACGCGCGGTTCTGGAGGCTAAGGAGTTGCAGCTAAAGGCGTACCAGGAAACGCAGAAGGAGCGTTTACATCTGCAGGCAGGCTTGTCGGCGGAGCTGACCGGGGAAATTGCGTCGAAACACCTGTCGGCCAGGGTTCGGGCAAGGAAAGCTCGCACGCAGATAACGGAGCTGAAGGAGGGTGGAAACTCGGTCACTGGAGTAAGGCAGATCCTGGACGCGGCGTCGGGGTATTTTCAGAAAATCTTCGGCAGAGATCGTCGCACAAACTTCACCAACTGGGATTTTACTCCTTGTCGTCGCCTGGGAAAGGAAGCAGCAGAGGCGTTAACGGCGGATTGGTCGGAGCAGGAGATAAAATCAGCTTTTGCGGCAATGGCGAGGAACAAATCACCTGGTGAGGACGGGCTCCCAAAAGAGCTATTCGAAGTTCACTGGGACTTGCTGAGGGAAAGCTTTATGGTGATGGCGAAGGACTTTGAGAAAACAACCTTCCTCCCGACCGAGCTTAAAGAGGCTGTCACGATCCTGCTTCACAAAAAGGGAGAGCGTGACCAGCTTAATAACTATCGTCCCATCACTCTCTTGAATTTCACTTACAAGGTATTGGTGAAGGTTATGGCGGCCCGGATGAAAGCCGTACTGCACCAAGTCATCTCACCAGAGCAGTACGGGTTCATTCCGGGGAGGCGGTTATCGGATGCAGTTGCGTTGGTGGCAGATGTCATAGATGCGGTGAAGAACGGTAAGGAGGACTAGTACTTGTTGTTGGTGGACTGCCAAAAAGCCTTCGATTCCGTGTCACGCAATTTCTTGTTTCAAGTACTCCGGAAAATGGGTTTTCCGGACCGCTTCGTGAGCTGGATTGAAGGCCTGCACGAGAACACCACGACGAAGCTTCTGGTTAACGGGTGGCTTGGTGATGGTATGGAAGTGGCCTCGGGGGTCAGGCAGGGCTGCCCGTTGGCACCTTACCTCTTTCTCTGCGCGGTGGAACCATTGGCCCAGGAGGTGGAGAAGGAGAGTCTTCGTCTCAGCAAGGATGGGCAGCAGCTTGGCTACCTGGGTTATGCTGATGACATGACGTTGTTCCTGCAAGGAGGGGAGCAGATTGTTAAAGCAGAGCAAATCCTGGACAAGTTCGAGAAGGCTTCGGGGCTGGCGACCAACAAAGGGAAATCGGCCGTCTTACCGCTGGGGGCGAACCTTGGTGCGGTTGCTGATAGCTCAGCGGTCTTTAAATGGGCCGGAGCTGATGATGTGGAGTGTCTGCTGGGTGTATGGGTGTCACCATCCGGCAGCGGCCTGAAAACATGGGAGAAGGCACTGGAGCGGATAGCAGAGAAGTTGGTTAAGTGGCAGCAGAAGTATTTAACAGTATCGGCGTGGGCAACAGTCGTCAATTACTACGTCATGCCTATTATTGCCTTTCAGGCACATGTCTACCCCCCGCCGGCGGATGTCTGGGAGGACCTTGTCCGGCTACTGCACAGTTTCACGTCTGGTAACAGTGTATCAGCGGCGAAGGGGTTCCGTCTATGGAGCAGGGAGTTGCTGTATCTGTCGAGCGAAGCGGGTGGAATCGGGGTGAGGGATCCTGAGATCGTCATTACCTGCCTGGTGGCGAGAAGGGCTGGTATATTCCTCACAGAGAGCAACGTGCTCAAAAAGGATTTGATGGAGCGGGCGGCGGAACTTCCGTTAGGGGCGGATACGTTCGGGGCCCATGAGAAGCTTTTTTAGCACAGGGAGGGGCGCAGCGCACGCTGGAAGCAGACCTGCGAAACCCTCACTCGCTCGCCGCTGTCCACGAAGGCGGAGGCCACCTCAAGGGAGGAGATTCTGCAAGAGAAGGTGGTATTTAGCAAACGGATTCTGCTACGAGGTACCACACCGATTGGCGGCCAAAAAGATGCCAAGAAGCTGGTTGATCTACGACTTGGTGACCTGTTCGAGAGGGATGAGGCTGGGGATCTCTCGCAGCGATCTGTAGCGGAGCTGACGCTGAAGCTGGGAAGCAGCGGCCCTGCGAAGCTAGCGCTGAAAGCCGTGGGTGCTCTTCGTGCTATTTGGTACAGGCAGCTGGGTTTTCCAACTATGCTTCCCCGCTCGGCTGACTCCCCGCCTCAGCTGATGATTCTGGAAGGAGGGCAGACTGTTTCCATAAAGCGGATGAAGGAGGGCTGGAAGGGGGCCCTGAAGGAATCGTACAAGCGTGCGAAATGGGCGGCAAGATGGGGAGGCCACATTGATTGGAAGAAGGCCGTGAATACTCGGGACTCCTTGGCTGTTCCCAGCCGTCCGTGTGACGTGCTCATTCGGATCCACGGTCTTAACCTGCAGGTTGGGGAGCGCTTGGCTTTCCTAAGTAGCAAGCCGGTCTGCTCGTATTGTGGTGACCCGGAGACGCTGGAACACTGCTTGGTTCTCTGTCCCAGGATCCAAGTGGTTTCCACCGCTCTTCGGCGCGCTCTCCACATGCTCAATCCCAACCACACGACGGACTCGTTGAGGGATCTCCTGTATCAGGGCACGGGCACCACCTCAGCTTTTCCAGAACTGACGATAACATCGATTGCGCTACACCAATTATGGCTCGAGCGATACGAAGCTGTCTTCAGAGGGTGGAAATTTCGCACGCAACGTGTCATGAGGAGGATAGAGGTGGCTTTCCGGCAACACGTAAAGCTGTACATCCACCATTTCGGGCCGACGTGGCGAAAACAACGACAGCGTGACTCATCGGAGGAGTGGAACATGTTAAGGAAAATCAAGCTGGATGGCAACAGTTTGAAGTGGACAAATGCATTTGCAGCTCTGTGGTCGACACGGAGGGCTAGGCCCACCAGGCCCTAGGAATCTTATCTGGAAGCAGAGGTCCCCCTCTAATTCCTCACGCACGGTTACGACCGTCTTTGTCAATATATACTTGTCCAATCGGTGTATATTTTCAATTATCAAAAAAAAAAAAAAAAAAAGCACCTGCCCAAAGCAGGATGAACACTGCGAATCCGTTCATCTATCGCGTTCCTGCAGTCAGCCGTTGCTTGACCAGCTACCATTCATCGTCACTGGTTACGCGTTACCCTCTGCCTTCTGGCAGTCAAGCGTATCTTGGCCGCTGATCGCTACCACTGCCCCTAGCTACCATTCGTCGTCACTGGTTACGCGTTACTCCGCCTTCTGGCGGTCAAGCATGACTTAACCGCTGATGCTCCACTGCCCCCCCTAGTTCAACCTTGTGCGATCGACCAATAAGCGTGCGGATATGCGAGCTGTCGCGTACCGCAAGCCGCATCGGCCAATCATCAGCGTCGAATATTCCGCCGTGGCCATTAGCGAAATGACTACTCCGTGCGCCGCTCACGCTCCCTTCACTTCCCCTTCTCGTCCCTTCCTCTGCGGCTATCGCGGCGGTGGTAGCCGCAATCTCACTACATATATTCCCACTCTCCTCCCCTCACCATATCTCGCCAATCCACTCAAGCTTCCCTCCTCGCTCGCCCCACGCATCGCTGCACCTTGCGTCACGTCGCCTCATCGCATTTCTTTTTGCCGTGCTTTTCTTCGGATCCACCACGCAGGCAGCAGCACGCCGCAGTTCACCGTCGGCGCTACTACCCTAGAGCGACCGGCGAATCACTCGGTCACCACACTGCTGCGCGCCGCAGCCTCTCAGCCTCTCAGCGTCCCCTCACCCTCCTGCCTCTCTCGTTGCCATGCGCGTTCCGCCCTTCAATCCTGCCTCGCCGCGGTTCTCGCTGGCCTCGTTGCTCTCGTCGCGGTCATGGCTGCCGCGTAACACCGTATACCACCACCACCTTGTGAGTCGGCATGTGCGCCACCACCTTGTGAGTCGGCATGTGCGCCACCACCTTGTGAGTCGGCATGTGCGCCACCACCTTGTGAGTCGGCATGTGCGCCACCACCTTGTGAGTCGGCATGTGCGCCACCACCTTGTGAGTCGGCATGTGCGCCACCACCTTGTGAGTCGGCATGTGCGCCACCACCTTGTGAGTCGGCATGTGCGCCACCACCTTGTGAGTCGGCATGCCGCGCGGTGGTTACCTCCGTGGAACGTGGACACGTGATTTGCTTCTGCTGTTGCGGATCTATGTTTGTTGACTGCAGTGGGGTAGTTGCTTTCTTTTGCTTTGCTTTGCTTTGCTTCTACTATTGCTGATCGGTGGCCCTCTCCCTCTTCCTCATGCCTTCAACTCTCGTCGCTCCCTGTGCCCCCCTGCCGCTGCTATACCTCCACTGCGACTGCTCTCAGGACACTCCCTCTTGCCGAGTTACCAGCGTCAGTGAAGTGCGAGACGGGTAAGATTGCAAGGCGGGTGTAGCGCCCGTTTAGGCCCAGTGGTGCTGCGGAGCGTTATAGGTGCGGCGAGGGGAGCAGGATTGCGGTATACTAGGGGGCAGGGAAAGGCTGCTCCCTAGGGGCAAATGCTGCTCCCGTGCCCCCTGTGCTGGTAGCCACCGCGTGTCATCGCCACGCAAGGTGTGGTGGAATAAGGAAGTGGGAGGGAGGGGAAGGAGAATTGGGAAGGGAAGAGGGGGAGAGGGTGTGGGGGTTACTAGGGGGACCGCGCCCCGTGGATGGGAGCCGCCGCGTGTCAACGCCACACAAGGTGAGAGGATGATGGGAGAAGCATGTGTGTGGGTGTGCAGAGGGAAGTGTGTGTGCGGGTATGGCGGGAGAAACGTGCTCCTGCAGCAGCAATGCCCTCCCTGCCCGTGCCGGTGCCACACAGGCAGGCGCCACCAGGTAACGCACTCACTGCGAGGGGTGCGGGGGAGTGGAGGTGGGGGAGGGAGGGGATAATGGGCAGACATTGGGGGTCGAACTTGGGGAACCACTGCTGCTGTTCCCTCCTCAATCAGCGCCACTCCAGGTGAATGGGCGGGCGGTGGGGTGGGTTGTGTGGGGGAAGGTGAGTGTGCGACGGAGAGCAGGGAGGAAGGGGTAGAGGGAAGAGCAGGGGGACAAGGATCAAATAGGGGAGAAGAGGGACGTGGTGCGTGGTGCTTGATTAGTGGGTGTAAGTGCATCACGAAGGAGGCAAGCCTGGGTGGGTGACCCAGGAGCGCGTATGAATGGGTGAGCAAACGAGGGACACACAGTGCTTGTGTTTCCTTCTTCCCAAACCCCTGCAGATATGTGTGATGTAAGCCACCAGAAGCCAGGTATCATGCCATCCTGGTTCCTGCATTCGCATTGAACTAGTTTTTCCCCATTCATCATCGCTCTATATCTACGGCAAACATATTCAGCCTCACTATATGCGCTTCCATCCCGTTCCTCCGCTCTTTCCTTTTTGGTGCAGTTTGAGGAGCACCCTCAAAAGGGTTTATGATGGGTTAGCACGGGGTGGTTGGCAGCACTTCTATTCCCCAGCCAGCATGATCAGCCTCATTTCTTTCTTGGGTGCTGCATTCTCAAGAGCACCAATGCTGCTGCAAGGGTTCATGCTAGTTCACTGGATCTACTATGTGGACTTTCTTTGTGGGTATCTGTCTCTGTGCTTCTAGGTCCTGTATTGTCGTGTATGTTTTCTTAGCAACGAAGGTTCTTTGTGGGTTTGTGCTTGCATTGTGTAATGGTTGAGTTTAATATTATCTTCACTGAATACCGTATTGCTCCGGAAATAAGCGCAGGCCTATGTTAACCGCATGCGCTTCTATCTGGAGCACTGCGCTTATGGCCGGGACTAGATTAGAAGCGCACCCCCCTATAGACCTTGATTTATTATAAGCGCACCCCCTAAGGTTTTAAATTGTATTTTACTTTATGGATTATTTCATGGCATCAAGCCCTACCTTAACTTCTATTCTTTTTTTTTTTTTTTATATATATATATATATATATATATATTTGCAAGGCATTTCAAGGGTTCCCTCTAGGGAGAGCTCTTCCTGGCAGTACGCATTTACCTCTAGTCATCTCTCTAGATAGCGGGTTTTGCACCTCTAGCTAGCCTAGCCTAGTGATGCGTTCAAGGAGGTCGCCCTTCTCGCCAGACTCGGGCTCCGGGCAGTTGTTGCCCTAGAAGCCATCTTCTGTGACCTCATCGTCGACGTCAACCTCGGCGGCCAGAGCGCTCCTCTTGTGCGCCATGGCAAGGTTGTCCTCTGACCCGAGCGCGTTGCGGATGTCGCAGGTGAGGAACGCACCTTGATGAGGTCGGGGGGCACTGCCTTCCAGGCCCGTTAAATTCACCTGAGGATCACCTCAGGTGGTGGCTTGCGGATGTTCCCTGCACCACGGGACGGGGGATTTAGTCAGTACAACGGCGAAAAAACACACGCGACGGAAACACACACGGGGGCTCGAGCTCACCTTTCTCCGTTAGCGCGCTGATGCCTTCCTCCTCGAACCAGGTCTGGTACTGCCGGCGCACGCTCGCATTGAACAAGTGGTTAACGTACACGTCCGGAGGCTATACCTCCGCCGTACAGCCTCCCGGGATCACCGCCGGCACGATGATTAACTCCTTGAATTTCACCTTCACCTCCGCGGTCAGATGACTGCGGTAGGAGTCCAGCACGAGCATCGCGCTCCTCGCGCGCACCCCGAACCGTGGCTTGATGAAAGGCTTGACACCCTCGTCGAGCCATCGCATGACGCCCTCGGCATCCATCCATCCGTTGGGCTGCACCGCCACGACGACATCTGCGCATAAACATGACGGGTTGTTAGTTTAAAAAGAAGTTACAAAATAATGAATAGACACACATGAGATATAAGGAACATAGAACACTGCTTACTGGGAAGGAAACTTCCCTTCGGGACTGTTTTGCGCTTGAAAAACACCCACGGCTTCAGTTTCTCCCCCGTTGTTGTGCAAGCCAGCATGACCGTCACTCGTTCCTTGTAGCAAACGCCACTTTTGATGGGCACCGACTTCACGCCGACTTCATCCACAGTGTGGTCTGCCAGCATCACCAGCCACAGCGGCGCCTGGTCCGCGTTTATGATCCAGCGGTTGTCGATGTCGTACTCACGACGCCTGTCGCAGACGTTCTGCCAAACGTTCTTGCACTGCGCCGCACAATTTGCGCACGGGGAAGGAAGGGTGCATACAAGAACGGGAGAGTAAATTAGTTCAGATTCCCTAGAAATAGCAACGAGATAAAGCAACAGTGTAAGTAACAAACGAAGAAATTGAACGCAGGAAGGCACTTACGCTCGAATGATTTATGGGCCACCTTAGTCTTGGCGCACACGCTCGGATTCCACCGATTGCGGAAATGGTCCGACCACCGTTGAGATCATTTCCTCTTCAGGTCCGGGAAGAGTTCCTTCACCACCTCCCGAGACCAGGTCTGCAGCCGACCGACAGACACCGCAGCCCCTTGCACCACCAATCGAGGAGCTGCGCGTAGACCTTAAGCTCCATCGACCGATACCACGAAGCTCTGCCGCACCCGTGCAGATGCTTCCGTGCGCCGTGAGAGTCTGCCCGAAGCTTGGCGAATTTATTCCACTCGCCCAGTCACGTGCGGTGGATTCCCGACTCTTGCGCCACCTCGTCCACCGACGCCACAACCTCCAGACGCACGAGACACCAAAGCTTTTCTTGGGCGGTATAAGCTTGACGCTTACGTTGCGTCGTCTTGTGCCTAGGAGAGGGGGGGCGGGCATCACGATTCTCAAAAGAGGGGTGGGGACGCTTTCGGTTAGGCGGCGGAAATGATGGAACCGTCAACTTCTCAGGTAAGCCATCGCGCGACCAGTACTCGACGCCGTCATCATCCTCGGCGCCCACACTATCCTCGGCGCCCACAGCAGCCTCGGCGCCATTCTCGTCCTCGGCTCGATGCTCGTCCTTGGCGCCCACATGGTCCTCGGCGCCTACGGCTGACTCGTCCCACGGACAATTTTCAGGCTCGCCCCAACGTGGTGCCGGCGCCAGAGCTTCGATCCACTCATCTGGTGGCTTGTGTGACTCCGGTTCCAACAGGAAAATCATCGCACGCCGAGAGGACGGGCTGATTGCCCGTGTAAACTGGAGTAGGCGGATTCTGAGGAGCAGGACGAGTAGGAGGCGCCGGAGGAGAAGGAGGAGCAGGGGGTGCAGGTGGCGCAGGAGGCTGTGGTGGCTCAGGTGGGACACGGCTGTAGCAGCCGTCTTCGCTTACTCTAAATGCAGGCCTAGGACGCTTCTTGAAGAGAAAGTGTGTGCCTGTGAATTCCAACATGGCTTCCGCAGTCAGGCGGGGGAGGGAGAGAATGAGGAAAAAATGCGAGAAAGGGTGTACAAATGGGCAACGGGAGGGGACCCCGCCAGGTTAGCGGCTCGGGTTCCTTGTAAACGAATACGGGAAACCGTCACCTCAACCTGCAGAGAACCATGCGTGGCATGAAATAATCGACCCTCTTCTAGAGGGTTCGGGATGATTTCACCAGCCTGGCAGCGCATGACTCAGTGATTGGGCCGAGTCAGCGCTGGCAGGTTCGATGGTTCTGGACGCAAGTGTGCAGTGGAAATCTGAATTGCGGCCGTTTTCTAACTGTTTTTCATGCACGAACCTACGTGAACATTATTAGGGTGTGTTCGCCTTATTAAGAGCTTCAATTTGGTTAAAAAAAATAAAAAATCATAATTAACATATTACAGGCGCATGCGCTTATACATTTTACTAAATTAGAAGCACACCCCCTAAAAAAAACCCTCTTTATTATAAGCGCACCCGTCCTTATATCCGAGGTATGACAATACCTTGCAAAAGCTTTTCAGACATTAGAGTTGGGCCACATGAACTTTTACTAATATTAGAGCGCTTCCAAATGTTGTCTTTGTAACACATGGGACACATAAGATCTGTTCCCAGGCACCTTAATTTTGCTCAATCAATACGACTTTTTCAAATTTTATGAAAACTAAGAGTCGTTTCTTCATGTAACCTTTCATTTCAGAGTTGGTGAACCTACTGTAGCGTTAAAATCCAAATGTTTCTATCATTCTTCTCTTCTTTCCACTTTTTTTGTTGACGTGCATGGCATGAAAAGCGAGCCGCTGGGCTTGGATGAGCTTCTGAAAGGACTTTGCATTCTTTACACCCCTTTTGTTTATTGTATCTCTTAGCATGGCACACTCTTGCTGCCTCACTGATGGTAGATTGTGTTTTTTATTATAGTTTTCATAAGACCCTAGGGTCTTATATCCAGATGATCACGCTATTCCTAGGTGTACAGTTTGGTAGGCTAAGTGTGCAGTTTGTGCTAGATAGGCTAGGGTTTGCTATATGTACCCTTGTATGCCCTCATTCTAGTTATTCTCGTTTGTTAAAACCAGGGTGCACATTCAATTGGATTTCTGTCAAAGGTTAACCTTTGACCTCGGGGTTACTCAGTGATTTAGGAATATCTGGGGGGAGTGTTCGCTTCAGCAGGTGAACATTTGAACCCTCGAGATTTGGCAAATGTAAACCGAAGTCATCGAATGTGCTTCCGCCAATTCGTTTCCCCCCTCCCCATACCTATTCCGCTCCTACCGAAATTGTTTCCCCTTCCCCCACAATATCGTCTCACCCCCTTTCCCCTTTCCGCTAACCCAGTTGCCCTCCCCTTGATCCCCAATTTCTAGATCCAAGTGTTATCAATTTCTCCCCTGCCAAGCCTCATCTCTCACGGACGAAAAGCCCCATGCTCGCCCATTCTCAACTATTTATTCGCTACTCGTCAACCAATCAGCAGTTCCCGCAAACATGCCGCCCAAAATTTAGCCTGGAGTCGCGTTGAATGTGTACCCTGGTTTTAACATGGTGTCATGATCACCGCTTCCGCTCTACCTACCCTAGATCGCCCCTAGCCCGCCCCTAGCCCGCCGCCTCTCGTGTTAGCTAGAGAGCCCCGTCGATGGCCCCTACACCGCCCCCTGAGCGCCCCATCGAGCGCCCTGCCTAGGCCTGTCGCGCCCCACCCCATGACTGTCACACCCAACCTTAAGCCCGTCGCGCCCCGCCCTAGGCCCCTGCAGCGCGCCAACACGTTGCCGCCAGCAGCAAAGGCAGTCGCCAGCACCATGCACGCGCGCCGACGCCAGCAG